AAACGCCAGTGCACAAATATGAAACGTCCGCAGTCTCTTGTTCTAATGCTGGTGCTCCTAATCCTGTCTGATAAATCACCCGAGTGCTTGAGGTGAGCCGGATTACTCATGCTTAGCAATTTGGAGAGGTGTTTTGTTGTAGTTCCTGCTAGTCTGTGTGGCGCACTACCAATGGCCGGAGAGACTGGTTTAAGGGGAACTCCGGTTTATGGGTAACACATGCATGTGTGTTGGTCTCAGGTTGTTGGCAACTAAATAAGACAAATTTTCTTCCTTGCTGAATGATTTAAGACTTCTTGTGCTCTGGTGAGAACAAATTTAGTCAGAGCTTCTTACAGGTGTGACCCCTGCATTTTTTCCACAACAAAAATCCCTACCAAATCTAAAATTTTTTGTCAACCATACACACACACACACACACAATATATATATATATATATATATATTATATATATATATATAATATGTGTGTGTGTGTGTATGTGGGGGCGATGAGTGTAATGTGTATGCTAGTTGATATCTCAGCCTTATAAGTCTTCTGCTGCTCTATATTTTTCAGGTCCTTGATAATGTGAGTAATCACGAAAGTGCTTGCAATTTCCCTATTTTTTACAATAGTTGTTTTTAATATATATATATATAATATATATATATATATAATATATATATTTATATATATATATATATTATATATATATATATATATATATGTGTGTGTGTGTGTGTGTGTACTCACCTAATTGTGGTTGCAGGGGTCGAGACTCAGCTCCTGGCCCCGCCTCTTCACTGATCGCTACTAGGTCCTCCCCCTCTCTCTGCTTCCTGAGCTTTGTCATACCTCGTCTTAAAGCTATGTATGGTTCCTGCCTCCACTACATCACTTGCTAAGCTATTCCACTTCCTGACGACTCTATGACTGAAGAAATACTTCCTAACATCCCTCTGACTCGTCTGAGTCATCAGCTTCCAATTGTGACCTTGTTTCTGTGTCCCCTCTCTGGAACATCCTGTCTCTGTCCACCTTATCTATTCCACGCAGTATTTTGTATGTCGTTATCATGTTTCCCCTGACCCTCCTGTCCTCCAATGTCGTCAGTCCGATTTCCCTCAATCTTTCTTCGTAGGACATACCCCTGAGCTCCGGGACTAGCCTTGTTGCAAACCTGTGTGTACTCACCTAGTTGTACTCACCTAGTTGAGGTTGCGGGGGTCGAGTCCGAGCTCCTGGCCCCGCCTCTTCACTGATCGCTACTAGGTCACTCTCCCTGAGCCGTGAGCTTTATCGTACCTCTGCTTAAAGCTATGTATGGATCCTGCCTCCACTACATCGCTTCCCAAACTATTCCACTTACTGACTACTCTGTGGCTGAAGAAATACTTCCTAACATCCCTGTGATTCATCTGTGTCTTTAGCTTCCAACTGTGTCCCCTTGTTACTGTGTCCAATCTCTGGAACATCCTGTTTTTTGTCCACCTTGTCAATTCCTCTCAGTATTTTGTATGTCGTTATCATGTCCCCCCTATCTCTCCTGTCCTCCAGTGTCGTCAGGTTGATTTCCCTTAACCTCTCCTCGTAGGACATACCTCTTAGCTCTGGGACTAGTCTTGTTGCAAACCTTTGCACTTTCTCTAGTTTCTTTACGTGCTTGGCTAGGTGTGGGTTCCAAACTGGTGCCGCATACTCCAATATGGGCCTAACGTATACGGTGTACAGGGTCCTGAACGATTCCTTATTAAGATGTCGGAATGCTATTCTGAGGTTTGCTAGGCGCCCATATGCTGCAGCAGTTATTTGGTTGATGTGCGCTTCAGGAGATGTGCCTGGTGTTATACTCACCCCAAGATCTTTTTCCTTGAGTGAGGTTTGTAGTCTCTGACCCCCTAGACTGTACTCCGTTTGCGGCCTTCTTTGCCCTTCCCCAATCTTCATGACTTTGCACTTGGTGGGATTGAACTCCAGGAGCCAATTGCTGGACCAGTTCTGCAGCCTGTCCAGATCCCTTTGTAGTTCTGCCTGGTCTTCGATCGAGTGTATTCTTCTCATCAACTTCACGTCATCTGCAAACAGGGACACCTCAGAGTCTATTTCTTCCGTCATGTCGTTCACAAATACCAGAAACAGCACTGGTCCTAGGACTGACCCCTGCGGGACCCCGCTGGTCACAGGTGCCCACTCTGACACCTCGCGTGTGTGTGTGTGTGTGTGTGTGTGTGTGTGTGTGTGTGTGTGTGTGTGTGTGTGTGTGTGTGTGTGTACACATATACATACACTCGTATATTCACATTAGTAAAGTAATGACAAAAACTAAGGGTAATAATACAGTGATGGCGTACTACATGGTTTTCGTGTAAGTCAGAGCCAGTGTTTGCCAGAGTGACAGTAGTGACATACAGGTGATGTTTCCTGATGGGAGAGTAGCTGTACTGTATATGTGGCACTCCTGCACGAAGTCTCTCTCTCTCTCTCTCTCTCTCTCTCTCACGTACTCAACGTGTCGGCCATCATTAGTGATCTTAAATGGCTTCCCTCTACCTTGCCTCTTCACACACCTTATTGACTATAATTTCTAGAAATAGCTTCTATAATTGACTGTGAGTGTGTATGTGTGTGTGTGTGTGTGTGTGTGTGTGGTGTGTGTGTGTGTGTGTGTGTGTGTGTGTGTGTGTGTGTGTGTGTGTGCGTGCACGCGCAACATTGTATATGTTTCATCTATATAAAGTTATGAATAACTTAAGTTCTACACAAAGCAAAACGTCCTCTATAATTAAAATATTCTGTACTCTAAGCCTGCTGGAGTTCTAAGACAAGAGTTACCGAGATAAAGTCAGGAAAAACAATGATGGGCAGACCGCATTTTTCTGGGCTAGAAGAAAACACTTAACGCAGTCCCCTACTGAAGACTGATCCACAAGACTAAACAACAACCAAGGACAAAAAGAAGTCATGAAGTGGCTAAAAAGTGCCCAAAATAAAGACAAAAAACTAACATTACAGGAGCAAGTGTCAAGTTATTAAAAAAAAAAAAATAAGTGGTATCTCCTAAAAATCAATACTTGGGCCAATGCTTTTCTTGGTATATGGGAATGACCTGCCAGATGGAATCAAAACCCCTGGGTCGCTGCGCATGTGAGACTATTGAGAAAAATACCAAGAGGAGAGGAAATTAAGGGGCTTCCAGAGAGATTCAAACATGTTTAAGGAGTGGGCAAGCAAGTGGCTGCTCGGGTTCAACCTGAACAAGTGCAGATCATTAAATTTCGTTACGGGAGAGGAGACCGGAAGCGAACTGTATTTTCGGAGGTGAGAAACCGCAGGATTTATGGATAAACGGCATACACCACATCGCCGGAGGAGCACACAAAACATACAAGTTTAGCACACATTAAGATTTATTTTTGATTTGTACATTTTTTTTTTGTTCTTGTAATGTTTACTTTTTTTAATTTTGGAGGCTTGGTCTAAGACGGGGTAGCGGGGGCGATGATCACTATAATCCATAACAGATTTGAAAAATATGACTCGCTTAACGCATTACAAACTGTTCTCGGACAGGCCACAGGCGTCTACCACACTCGTTTACCAACACAATATACCTACCTAATGTTCAAAATCAGATTCCACCCTCGTCACTGAATGAGTCCTCTGTGTTGGACTCATAATCTGGTGGGTTCAAATCTTGTCTCTGTTTTCCGCAGATAATTTCACCTGAGTGTTAGACATCTGTTAGTCAGTGATACATCATTTTCTTTCCCAAACTTTCTAATGAGGACACTCCGACACGCATTTCTCCCGTGGCTAGGAATCCCAATGTGCTTTAATTATATCACAATTTCGTCTAAGTAAATATTTTCACAAATGAATAAAAGTGTAATGAACACTTGTCATTAAACCCACATGAAAACACAAACTCGGGAAGAGGATCAAATAAGAGAATCGAAATACACAGATTAATTAATCTCCCGAGTTTGTTTCCACGTGGGTTATTACTGAGCATTTTCACTAATGTTAACACCAAACCCAAGTTGATAAGGTTCATAACTGACAACTAACCGCCTCGTTTTGAAGGACATGAGCCTCCCTTCGTCTTACATATTTATCAATGTATATCCTTCCATAAACTCAACAGACGTATTTGTAAAATAATGTAAAAATGATAATGAAGGTCAATCAGTTTCCCCGTGAATTTTTTCTGTCAGGTGTAAAAAGTGATGGAAAGAAATGGTATGAAATGCAAACACTATGGAAACAAAGAGACAAAAATTGAATTCATGTGTGTGTTTCCACGGTAAAACAGCGAGGGGGTTGCCGGCACACAAGTTCACAACCCATCTATCACCTGCCACTCACTACTGAGTGGTTACCCACCACATACTAAGCAACTAAAGATATATATAAAAAAGTCTAAGTGGCCAAAGTAAATTATGACATAACATAGATAAATTCTAACTGGTTATATAAAGAAAGAACGAACAGCTCTAAAAGAACACAAATACCAAACCGCAGGACTTAGCAGTCTGTGAGAAATTTCCAGATTTTTAAGGAAGTGTGTAAACCCTGGGAAAGGCAGAATGTCTTAAGCACAGTTAGAAAGCACTGTATCAACCTTTCCCCAGGCGCTGTATAATCCTCCGGGTTTAGCGCTTCCCCCTTGATTATAATAATAATAATAATAATGTATCAACCTTTGTCTTCCAAGGCTCTATCTTTCTACACAACGGATGTAAGATATATAGACCACACAGAAATCTCCAAAAATAAACTTGATATTAAGCATAAAGTATGAGATCAGTCGGGTTGTGATGGAATGCAATAAGCTACAGGAAGTCTGATGTCACCCGAGGCTATGACAGCACAACTCTCTAAACCGACTACAGGTATGTCACAGGTAAACATAATATTGAATATTTTTAAGTGTTTACTACTGGCGGAAATGACGCCATTGAATTCCTAAGAAACAACTGCCTCTTGGGATACCTATGTATTGGCGCTCTCACACAGAAACAGTCAACACCTCCGTCAGATAACACATTGCTAGACGCAACATTATAAGTAAGACACCACCATGGCCTTGCACACCTTACCTCAGGAAGCCAGATGTGCCCTCCCTCCATCTCCTGTCTTTTCAGAGTCTTGCCTTTCACGGTTTCATTCTTTGTCATAATTCTCCCTGCCAAAACTCGCCGGCCTGGCGAGGTTGGGCAGCGATAAGTCATCTTACCTGCAAGACAGAGAGTAAAGTTAGTTTCCGGCCGTCTATTAGGCACAAGGTAGCATTATAGAATCTATCAGGAGTGCTGGAAGCACTACCTCACAGTGTCTAACTGTACGACACTTCTGCTGAAAAATATACACTATTTCCTCTACACATTTTCACTTAAATATAAGCAATAAAAGAAGGGCCTGTGGTGCATTCTATGATGTGGTAAGTAAGACACATGTACAACAGTTAGGTATCTTTATTCTGAAACGTTTCGCCTACACAGTAAGCTTCTTCAGTCGAGTACCGAGGAGGAAGCAGAAGTAGATGCAGAGACGATGTAATCAGTCCATCACCTTTGAGGATTAATTTTCTGGTGGTCAGTCCCATAGTCTGGAAATGGCAATAGAGCAAAACTTTTCTGCAGGCTGAGGGACTGATCACCTCAAAACTACGTTTTCAAGGGTGATGGACAAATATATGAGTGGGAGGGGCTTGGTTTGATTGGTGTCGTGGGTACGGGAGTAAATTCTTGGGTACCTTTTGGTAGTGGTGGTTTTGATAAAGACCTGCCTTGTATGGGCCAGTAGGTCTTCTGCAGTGTTCCTCCATTCTTATGTTTGGCACACATTTAAACATATTAAAACAACAGGACCAAATCTCAGGTAAACATCTTTAAGCGTCGTCAGTATTGATTGATGCCTCAGAAACCTTATTTACCATCTGCTGAAGAGGGCCTCTGACAGAGGCCGAAATATGTCTCTCTTTTATATATGCTTTGTATTTCTGTCTCGTTTCGTACTTTCGTTAAACATTTTTCAGCTATCCACAGTACGGGTGGGGCTCGAACTCATGGCAAGTGACACGTAACAGTCCAGGCCAGTGCGCAAACCACTGGGCCATCTAGCTACAATAAAATTCATCCAACTAGGCATTTGTGGTCATAGTGGTGGCCGAAGCTAATCTCCGTATGGTGTATAACTATACCTATTTGGATGAACCATTATTGTAGCCAGCTGGCCCACTGGCTTACCCATTGGCCTGGAGTTTTACGCCATGGTTCAAACCCCACCCGTTCCATGGTTTGTTTGTAATAGTTTTATTACGATTTTGTAAGTCATTTTTCAACTATATTTTACCAAACGTGTTAATCTCTCATAAACCATCATGAGTGTCCTAACGGCTCGGTCTAACACCAGGACCAAATTGAAAAGGAAATATTAAACACATAAGAAAAACACCTAAAACACAATGTATGGAATGTAAGTGTTGGGATGGTCCAGAAGAGGAATTAGGTAGACAGATACCTGACGTTGTCGATGTCACAAGTGGTAAATCCCTGGCCACCACTTCACCACTGCTTATTACATCACCACACTCTCACATTATATTTATTAGTGTCATGAAATAGCACTTAAACCTGTTGTGATGACACAGGTGACTGCAAGAGCAGCGTCTCTCAAACTTACTGCGTCCAGGATCAAACCTCCTTCCTTCCTTGCCTTGAATGGCTCACATGCACTTACCAATAATAATAATAATAATAATAATAATAATAATAATAATATAGCGGTGAAGTGCTGATGAATGAGGAAATATTCTCATCATTTAGACTGAATAAAAACTTTACGAGTATTTTTTGTTGTGTCATCAACAGCGCTGAGACTTTCTACAGCGTATTTATCATGAAGCCTCGTCTGTTATCACTGTTGTACCTCGTCTGTTATCACTGTTGTACCTCGTCTGTTATCACTGTTGTACCTCGTCTGTTATCACTGTTGTACCTCGTCTGTTATCACTGTTGTACCTCGTCTGTTATCACTGTTGTACCTCGTCTGTTATCACTGTTGTACCTCGTCTGTTATCACTGTTGTACCTCGTCTTTATCACTTTTGTACCTCGTCTGTTATCACTGTTGTACCTCGCCTGTTATCACTGTTGTACCTCGCCTGTTATCACTGTTGTACCTCGTCTGTTATCACTGTTGTACCTCGTCTGTTATCACTGTTGTACCTCGCCTGTTATCACTGTTGTACCTCGCCTGTTATCACTGTTGTACCTCGTCTGTTATCACTGTTGTACCACGTCTGTTATCACTGTTGTACCTCGTCTGTTATCACTGTTGTACCTCGTCTGTTATCACTGTTGTACCTCGTCTGTTATCACTGTTGTACCTCGCCTGTTATCACTGTTGTACCTCGCCTGTTATCACTGTTGTACCTCGCCTGTTATCACTGTTGTACCTCGTCTGTTATCACTGTTGTACCTCGTCTGTTATCACTGTTGTACCACGTCTGTTATCACTGTTGTACCTCGTCTGTTATCACTGTTGTACCTCTATCACTGTTGTACCTCGTCTTTTTATCACTGTTGTACCCTCGCCTGTTATCACTGTTGTACCTCGTCTGTTATCACTGTTGTACCTCGTCTGTTATCACTGTTGTCCACGTCTGTTATCACTGTTGTACCTCGCTTGTTATCACGGGTTGTACCTCGTCTGTTATCACTGTTGTACTCTCGTCTGTTATCACTGTTGTACCACGTCTGTTATCATTTGTTGTCCCTCGTCTGTTATCACTGTTGTACCTCGTCTGTTATCACTGTTGTAACCTCGTCTGTTATCACTGTTGTACCTCGTCTGTTATCACTGTTGTACCTCGCCTGTTATCACTGTTGTACCTCGTCTGTTATCACTGTTGTACCTCGTCTGTTATCACTGTTGTACACGTCTATTATCACTGTTGTACCTCGCCTTTACACTGTTGTACCTCGTCTGTTATCACTGTTGTACCACGTCTATTATCACTGTTGTACCTCGTCTGTTATCACTGTTGTACCTCGTCTGTTATCACTGTTGTACCTCGTCTTTTATCACTGTTGTACCCCCCTTTTTATCACTGTTGTACCACGTCTATTATCACTGTTGTACCTCGCCTGTTATCACTGTTGTACCTCGTCTGTTATCACTGTTGTACCTCGTCTGTTATCACTGTTGTACCTCGTCTGCTATCACTGTTGTACCACGTCTGTTATCACTGTTGTACCTCGCCTGTTATCACTGCTGTACCACGTCTGTTATCACTGTTGTACCACGTCTGTTATCACTGTTGTACCTCGCCTGTTATCACTGCTGTACCACGTCTGTTATCACTGTTGTACCACGTCTGTTATCACTGTTGTACCTCGCCTGTTATCACTGTTGTACCTCGTCTGTTATCACTGTTGTACCTCGTCTGCTATCACTGTTGTACCACGTCTGTTATCACTGTTGTACCTCGCCTGTTATCACTGCTGTACCACGTCTGTTATCACTGTTGTACCACGTCTGTTATCACTGTTGTACCTCGCCTGTTATCACTGCTGTACCACGTCTGTTATCACTGTTGTACCACGTCTGTTATCACTGGAGAGTGTACAAAGAACATTCACGTCACACAAGTACGATAAGGCACCTAAATTACTGGGAACGGTTGAAGGCCCTTGATCTGTATTCCCTGGAGCGCAGGCGAGAGAGATACATAATATAAACTTGGAAAATCCCAGAGGAATTAGTACCAAACTTGCACACGAAAATCACTTCCTATGAAAGCAAAAGACTCGGCAGACAGTGCAACATTCCCCCAATGAAAAGCAGGGGCGCCACGAGTACACTGAGAGACAACACACTAAGTGTCCGGGGCCCAAGACTGCTCAACTTCCTCCCAGCATGTTGATAAATTAGACACATGTGCAACTCCTGGGTATCTTTATTGAGGAAACGTTTCGCCACACAGTGGCTTCATCAGTCCATACGTAGGAGAAACTTGAAGAACAGGAGGAGAATGAGGTAATCAGTCCCTCAACCTTGAGTCGATGTGTTCAAATTGATGGACTGAACACATCGACTCAAGGTTGAGGGACTGATTACCTCATTCTCCTCCTGTTCTTCAAGTTTCTCCTACGTATGGACTGATGAAGCCACTGTGTGGCGAAACGTTTCCTCAATAAAGATACCCAAGAGTTGTACATGTGTCTAATTTATCAACATGTCGGTTCTCTTCCTCCCAGCATACATAAGGGGGATAACCAGTAGACCCCTGGCTGTCTTCAAGAAGGCAGTGGACAGGCACCTAAAGTCGTACCTGACTAATCGGGCTGTGGTTCGTACGTGAGTTTGCGTGCGGCCAGCAGTAACAGCCTGGTTGATCAGACCCTGATCCACCACGAGGCCTGGTCTCAGACCGAGCCGCGGGGGCGTTGACCCTCGAAACCCTCTCCAGGTAAACTGTTTTACCACGTCTGTTATCACTGTTGTACCAGGTCTATTATCACTGTTGTACCAGGTCTATTATCACTGTTGCACCACGTCTGTTATCACTGTTGTGCCAGGTCTATTATCACTGTTGTACCTCGTCTGTTATCACAGTTGCACCACGTCTGTTATCAGTGTTGTACCATTTCTGTATCACTGTTGTACCATATCTGTACCACTTTCATACCACCTCTGTACCAAAAGTACTATACCATCAGTGGAGTTCGGTAACTCTACATTTGCTTAGTAAATGGATAATAGACTATCTGACACTACACAAGTTGCTGCGACTTAGTCTGGACCAGGACACAGGGCTGTTGACTCCACGACATCAACAATCACAGATAGGCTATTTTATTAGTAATGACCATTTATGCAAATGATTACACTAAGATTGTTGATTTTCATGTAACCAGCCGTTCCACGCCTGGTAATTAGTAATTTACCGCTCTGCATTTTAGCACTGACGATGGGGGTGTAAAAACTTCGAAATATTTGGTGAAAAACTTTAAATTATTTACGCTGATTTGAAAATTACTATTTATGATATAATTAGATTTACACACACACACTCGACCCCTGCAACTACAACTAGGTGAGTACAACTAGGTGAGTACACACAGACACATATACAGGCACCCACATACAACAGGCCTAGTGTCTAATCAGCATGTGCCTAGGACAAAATTGTAACTAACACACACACCTAGAAAGAAATAAGCTTAACAAC